CTGCTGACCTGTAGATGACGACTGAATACTGGAGCACGGGGCCACTTGACTGTTATAGCAGCAGCAAGGAATAGGCCAGTATCCAAGATAACATCGATGAAGATAATGAGGTCCAACCAGGTATGGACTTCCCATATCGATACATTACCTGATGAAATAGGGTACTCGAGAAAGAGATGGTAGAAATAGTGACCTTCCAAGACCTCGAGAGCATCAGCGCCACCAGTACTGTTCTGTGGCGACATGTAAATAATAAGGTACATAGTGCAGACCAGTATCTAGTGGTGCTCGTAATGGTCATATACTTGTCATATCAAAGCTACTTCTAATACTTACCGCAATATAAAAAGTATTGAGGATAACTGTTCTCATCAACTGTCTACTCGAGAAGGAGCCTTGCTTCTTGCTCTGTAGCTCCTTCCATTGCCTCAACCGACGACGCCAAGCACATGATTCGAACCTATCACCATCACTACACTACTACACAACAGTATTACATTACCTCTTTCTGGGATCTCTAGACTCCATCTGGCTCTTTGATATCCTTGTAGACCCAACCCCACCGAATGCCGACATACGATATACACCACCATAGGAGCTGTTACTACCAGGCATGGAATTACCTACTGTGGGTAGTGACCGATGCACTTGTCGATACACGCTCACTCTTCGGAGAGTAACCCATTATTGCAGATGGAGTCGAGTAACGATATGAATCAATGATATTTCGATCGATAGTAGTAGGTGGGGACACATGATGGGCGCTGAGTGGTGGTATGAGCTGTGGAGACTGGTCAGGGTAGCGCATGCCATAGTTGGAGCCAGTACTAAAAGAAGATATAGCCGTAGTAGGATATACCTGCCAAATAACTCACTATCTGGTCATTGAGCTCTCCGACCCTGCCGCAGTGCTTGCCTGGTCGCTGCCCTGAAGGGAACATATTTTGTGTTTTCGGGAGGAGACGAGCCCAAGTGATGCTACAGCAATGCTAGCTTCGACAGCCCAACTTTCCTCCAGCCTTCCTCGGAGCTCTTGCCTCTTAGCTGGCAATATCACTGCTTGCCGTGCCATACCCTGATCATAGAAAGGGAGATATGGGTGATGAGGACAGGGTAATGATGGCTTACTTCGGCACGTTCCTTGCTTAGTTTAATATCAACATTACGCAGAATAAGCTCGCCCATAAACCATATGAATAGAACAACGGCTGCGCCGAGGATGAGACCTAAACGGTACACGTGGAGAAACTGCGGATGCACAGTATCATTAAACCTACCTCTAATGGCAGTCATATTAGATGGAGTCACTTTGAAGGAGGAATCACAGTAGGAACCAATAGAGACCTCTTTGCAAGGTATAACCAAGGGCATCGGCAAAGGGTTATCACCAAGTATAACCATACAAAGATCCTACC